CTCTCCAAGACATTTTGATACGGCGTATGCACATCTTGAATCAATATATGCAAATCCATTTGCTCCTGTGTCCGGAAGTACAGATACTCCGTCCACTATTCGCGAATTTCCAGAGAACGAGCATTGCAAAGTGTAGGTTTTCTCTGACATTATTTTACCCAGATCAATATGTTGTATATTGACTAAATATCCTAGTGTCGGAATATTTCCTATGGATTCTTTGTTTGAGGTAACTCAATAACAATTGTTTCATTCATTCGTATCTATCTTCATTTGTGACAGAGCGCCAGGGCCTTAATAACCTTGAAAACTCGTCACATGATATATGCTTACACAGCTATTACTAATTATTACCCATTTGTCATTACATCTTCATAATCATTATTGCCACCCAAACTCCAGCATCCTTGTTTAATGCACATCCAAATAAAACTTGTGTCCTACTATTCGACACCTAGAAGGGAGTTTTTATCTAGGATTCCACTTTTCCCTTTGGATCATTCTCTAAAACATCTACCTCATCCTCTGAACACAAATCTGAATCCACGCTGGATGACTCTTCAGCTATTACTTGAACATTTGTATGCCTATTGTTGGGGGTTCTAAAAGGGCATTCAGACTTGGTGTGTCCCAATTTTTTGCAATAGTGACAAATTACATCTATACCTAATTTTTGTTCTTGTCTAGAATCAGGTCTAGAATTTGGCTGTCGATTTGAAGCGAGGGTAGAAGATTCTAGTTGGTAAAGTCTTCTACTGGAGTTTAGTTTTTCTGGCTTATTAGTCGAACTTTTCTCGAGTCGAATTCGTTCCTAATCAACTGGTTCTGCAAATTCACAAAGAGAATTGAAATCCGGACATCTGTGTAACTGGGTGTAAACTGCCAATTATAGCTGTCGATTCATCTTTCCATACATCAGGTCTCTTCGTAGGGAATGATGTATTTTGGCTTTGCCAGCTAATGAAAGAAATTTGGTCTTCAAGTTTTGAAAACTTTTATAAGTGCCTTGACGTAGTGATTCAAACTCCACCATACTGTCCCGTTTTAAGGTGCTACTACGGTGACTCGCGATTAAATGATTTACCATTTGAACCGAATTCACGAAATCATTTTCTACGTCTTCCCCAGAGAAGTACGGAACCAGCATTTCTTGAGCTTTGGCTTTTGTGGATGCAAAGATAAAATTCCTGATTCTCCAATCTGAGCCCCAGTGTCCGTCGTTGTCTTGTATCCTACCTCGAAGTAAAATAAGCCAATTTTCAAAAAAATCCAAATTGTCAATACCTCCGAACTCACAAATAGGGTTAATGATTCGATCAGCTGTACCTAGTCGAACGTTCCCATAGGTATGACCTACTGTCTCGGATGGATCGCGATATTTTGCAAAAGGAGGCCCTTGAAAATTGGGCTCTTCGCTGCTACGGAGACGTGCTGTACTTTGTCTCTTATACTCTATCCTCCTAGTTGGTGATTTCTGTGTACGATAGTGGCTAGCTGATGGCCTCAGAATATCTTCCTCTTCTTCTTCTTCGTCTTGTAAGCGTTGTCTTGTTGTCGGAGAGTAGGCGTTTTGGCATTCTGAGGAGCGTGGCATAGGGTTAGGTCTTGATAGCGACGGGTTCAAACTTGCGGATTCTATAAGCTTCTCTAGTCTAGCCATCTTTGTTTTTAAGAATTCTATTTTGCTTTGCTGTTGTCTATTTGTGAACTCAAGCTCGTGATGGCGACTCATTTGTTTATAGGCCGTGTCGACAATTGCATCAGCCATTTCTCTACCAGTTTCATTTTGAGCTACTGTCAACTCGTCCACTCTTCAATTGACTTCCGAAATGCGTGGTTTACCTTTTCGAACAGCAACATTTGGGATTTCAATATTCGAATTTATCCTGTAGTGGCTAGGTTCGTGATATGAATTTTCCGGTTCAGACTCCACATCAGAGGTTGGCGGGGGAGGTAGATAGGGTTTAGGGGTCTTGTAATTGTCAGACATTTTTGGAAGAAATTAAAAAAATTGATGTATTTATTTTGTTTGAGAGTGGGAAAACTTTATCAACTATCATAACTTGTGACAAGCTGTTCCCTGAAAGTACTTTTACCATAAAGGTGTACGTTTCGTCGCGTTGAGGTTAACTGCGAAAAAATCTCAGTCTCGATGAGATAAGGAAATTATTTTGCCTTCCCAGGCGTATTGGTGAGTTTAGAATAATGTGACGACCAGAAGGGAGCTCAGGTTAGCAGATGAACAAGTCGAATCAGGTAAGGACTCAGATCTGGAATATAATTCATAAGATTCTAAACTAAGGGAAGAAAATAACAAGAGGTATCTAGAGATATACATAATTTACATAATTTACAATTGGTCCGTGCGTATGTAGGATCACAACACAATACCTGGAAGGACAATAGTATTAGAGGCCCCGAGGGTCAGGAATACAAGGCCGTAACAATTTACGTATGTATGGCAGCCGGGAAAATCGCAAAAACCACTGGGAGCGGAGCCCTTCTAGTAACGACATTAGGGTTAAATCCGAAGACAAAGTGACCCTTCTGAAGCTTTCGAAGAGGCCGGCCAGCTGGGCGCTGCAGACTTGTGTGTACCTCGGAAAATTCACACTCTGCCTTTCTAGCCTCCTTCCCGAAGGTAGTGCTGAAATCTCGGAAAAGTCTTGACAGAGCGTGATTACTATATAGTAGCTTAGCCTAACTTCTTTTGTGCCATCTGGGATACTGGGGACTGCCGTGAACTCATCGACAAATGAAGTCCTCCTAGCTAGTTAGCCAAAATCTCGGTCTTAGCGCCCACAAACGTTCCGAAGTTGAAAACCCTTAGAAAATATCGGTTCAAGCATGGCCTTCAGAGACCTGTTTTCCCTCTCGCTCCACATCTCAGCCGCCTGTTCTCTCTCAAGTTGTTTGCCCCATTAGAGCAACAGCCCCCAATAAGCCAAGACCCAGGCTTTGTATTTTTCGACTTGATTTCCTCCTTGCGAGTATAAATAGCGTCAAAAATATGTAGTGAGATATGGCTGGAAATTAATGGGGCAAGCTCCTGTATGCAATTGGAGTAACTTCTTTATTGGTCTTTAAGGCGAGGTGATGCGTGGTTAGAAAGAGGTTAAAGACTCAGATGAGAATGATAAGAGAGACATTGTCGAGAAGTCGTCAGGTAGAGATATGCTTCAGTTTGTTTTCGACTTCGATTCGGATACGATTCTTCTTGGCTATCCCAGATATCTGATGTAAGAATTGATGTTTTTATTGTACTACTTGAGTCATAGACTATCTAGCATATTGGGCTCTTTTCTGGCCTTGGCCACGCCTTGTACAGTGCTCCTTGCCTCTTTTGTTACTTGAAAGGTCATTAATATGTTTCCCATCATAAAAAGCCATTCAGCTCAGTAGTTACCCGTGGAATTCGGCCACCTTTTTCACAGAACCTTCTATTCAAAAAAATAAAATGATAGCAATGGAAACTGCGTGCGCGGGAAAAGGTCTCAAAAAACCTGCAGCCCCAGCCAGGCGAGGCCTAGACACCGGGACCACATGAGGTGCGTATATTCATCTATAACCCCCTCTTTTTAATACCAAAGACCAGCTTGATCCCATCAACAATCTCTTTATCGGGTGCTGGGTACGCTCTGGAGACTCATAGGATGGCTTTTTCCCCATGATCAAGGTGTGGTTTTGAGAAGGGCTTCGACCCTGATATCTGAGCTAATTGGGGTATATGTTAAGAGATGAAGACGATATAGACTGCGACAGCGACTGAGAGTCCTATCGAAGTGAGGACTTTGTTGCTCAATCTCGGCTCTGCAGACTCAACAGTGAGAGCTGGAGGTTTGTAGGGGACACCACTGACAGGTGTTGAGAATAGTCCCCCAATAAGACTGCATGATAAGGGATAGATGAAGCCGAACAAAACGGTACTACCAACCAGGAGGCTGAAGCGTTATTACAAGTCGGTGACATTGGAAATACGTGGCTGGATAGGAGTTATTATGTCTAAGGATAAGTCACTAATATGTAGATTCAGGAGAAGGATCAGCTCTTATAAATACCTGTTAGTAGTAGCTAAAGAACTCTTTCCTCCTCAAATAGTTTATTAAATGGATTTATTTATCAACTCGGTTTCCGTCACAGGTGCTGTCTTGAAATCTCAGTCTTGGCATGTCCTACCTGGTAAGTTACTACGGAAGTTATTGTTAAGGGCGAGGAGAATTACGGACACCGCACGTAAACTGTACCACAAAGAGTTAATATTTTTCTATAGATATTTACCACAGGAAATCCTTTGAACTAAATATGCCAGCTACAGCCACCAGTGATCCAGTATCCCGACACGTATTCTTTTGATACTGAGTGATCTGTTATCCAGCCTCAGCATAATTAACCGAGTGATTCGAGTCTCGAGAAACTCTCTTATAGATCACTTGGTTAGTGTCCTTGAACATGGCTGGGCCTGAAAGATAGCCCAGCCTAACCGAACTGGGCACAGCCCGTAACAGTTATGACTATTTCTGCAATCTCTCTGCGATAGATATCGGAGGCCAGCTAGGAACCTATTAGCAGCTCTTTACCAGGATTAGTCACAGGGTATCGTGAAGTTTGTACTGTTACTATTGAGTATGGACGCGAATATTCCCGTCGGCCTCTCTAGCAACGATTTTTTCTGAATCAAGAAGGTCATTAAAGGCAGGAATTAGATATATTAGGCTACACTTGGTATGAATTCTAGTTTTCGAAGCTAAATGCACATGGATCTCAGCAGTAAATTGCAACATTTTCCTTCATTTAAAATTTGTTACCTAACTAATTTTTTTATCGTAGTGATACCAAAATGGATACCTGTGAGTGCAAATATTAAATCAATAAGTTAATTTATGGATAGAGTCGTGTGAACAATAATCATGTCTTTAAAAACTCCTACCAAATTTGAAGTACCTTAGTCCTCATAACGCCGCTTGCAACACCTATATTTTCTCATTTAATGTGGACATATTTCATTTGGCTCCGTTAATGTAGTCTTTATTCTCAATTGTTACGCTTTTCGTCATATTATTGACCTTATAAACCCCTACTAGGCGTGTTGCTAATTCAAACATGTTATTTCGCAGAGAGATTACAATAAATTGAGCATTTTTTGTCCTTTCTTTGATGTAACTTGCAACAATGGAGACCTAGTCAGAGATATTAGCTTTGAGCACAAGAATCGATAGTAAATTTTCTCACGTTTCTAAAATCTAGCGCTGCATCGATCTCGTCCATGACATAAAGGGGCGTTGGCTTATAGTGATGTAGTGCGAATACAAGAGCAAGACTACTCAGTGTTTTCTCACCACCTGATAAATTGGATATATTTTTCCAAGATTTCTTTGGGGGCATGACACTAAAGAGAATACCTTCCGAAAACGGATCAAGGGAATCGACGAGTTCAAGTTCGGCATTGCCACCCATTGTAATCATCTGATACATTTCCTTCAAACGAAGCGAAATGGTACTAAATCCTTCCATAAACCCTTGAAGACGCAGATGGCGTAATTCGTCACATCGTTTTTTGGCAGCATCACGTTGAGCTAAAGCACTTTGAAGGTCCAAGTTCCTCGACGCATACTCTTCAACCCTTTTACGGTATTCGGTTAGAACTCCAGGATCCACGTTGACATTCTGCGTCTTCTCTTCAAGTGCTGCAATATCACTTTTAAGGGCCTCTTTGTCAATGTCAGCTAGTTCGTCCTTGGTATATTCGGGAAAATCCTGAAATTCCGACTCCTCTCCAAAATCACTTATATTTTGAAGAGATAGCTTCTCTATTTTTTCCTTCCAATATTTTAATCGATTCTTATTTTCGCCTAGTACCTTCTGATTTTCCTCGAGTTTATTACGCATTTCAATTTCTGAAGCTCGGATCATGTTAAGGGCCTCAGTTTTTTCGTCCAAGTTGGATTTTAAAGAATCTAGCTCTTCCTTTTTAACTTCCAGAGATTTTTGCGCTTCATCTATTTCCGCCTGGTGGCCCTTTACACTGGAACTTTCGCTCTGAATTTCAATTTCTAAGTATTCTAGCTCTGTCGTTGCCGACTCAAAGTCCATGACCGCTTTTGCTTGATCTTTTTCATGTTTTACTTTGTGCTTTTCAGCTTTGGCCCGCTTGACTTCGGCAGTTGATATTTGTTCTCCTATTTTACCGATTTCTTCTCTTACTGTATCTACCTTGACCTTGAGTGCTCGCAGCTTCTCACCCCCAACTTCCATGATCTTATCTTGAAGCAATTTTATCTCCATCTCGACACTAGAAGTTTCACTGCGTAATTTTTTGATTTCCTTATTTAGCGTTATAATATCTTTCTTCAAAGATAACGCACGGCCGTCATCACTCTGAGGCGACTGATGCTCCTTGTTTAACTCTTGAATACGCCGCTGTGAATCTGCCAAGTTTTTCGCATAACTATCTATCTCTAAGTCTAATTTCTGCATTTTAGTATCTAGTTGAGGGATTCTGTCTTGTATATTTCGCGAGGTAGCTTCAAGCTCCCTTTGACGAACTTGATGATTTTGAAAATCTTGTTCAAGAGAATCTCGATCTGATTCTAATTCTAGAACCAGATCCTTGGTAGTCTCTGCGATTAACTTTGAAGACATCAGTCCCTTTTTAACAGCGTTCCCACCACCAGACATAGTCCCAGACTTGTCAATTAGTTGACCATCCAACGTCACTACACGCCATCGCTTCGCGCCGTAAGCTATTCTATTGGCCTGTGCAAGATCTTGAACCACAAGGGTATTTTGCAGGGAATAAAAGAATGCGGACCGGAATTTTTCATCTTTGGCCGTAATTAGGTCAAATAAACGGGGTGCATTTTCGGGTGTTTCAATCCGAGCTAGGTTTGCACTTCTTAGCTTATCCAAGCAAATAAAATTACCTCGACCTAGATTTGTTTTTCTTAGGTACTCGATACATTGTTGTCCTGCTTCTACGGTATCCGTCACGAAGTGATCCAGCGCGCTACACGCTGTGGATATCGCAATATCGTACTTCTTGTCAATTGTCCCAAGGTTTCCAAGACGGCCATAGAAGCCGTCAACACGACCAGATTCCCTGAGTCGCATTAAGCCTGTGAGGACATTTCCTTGCGTCTGGGTATTTGAAAGACTTGCACGTGCATCTTCTGCTTTCTGACGAGCACTTGACAGCCTAGATCGAATATTTGGACCATTCTTAATTATATTATTCAGTTCGGCCTGAACGATTTTCGCTTTTTTTTCTAGTTCCAATCGCTCAAATTTACATTTCTCTAACTCAGCTGCTTTTTCGTTGCAAACTGTTTGAATACTAGCTATTTTTGTCTGAGTTTCTTCGATAGCAACACTACCAGCGGTGGCTTTTTCGTTAAGTATAGCGAGCTCACTCTCAGCAACAGCAATTGCTGACTGCTTCTGATTAATTTTCTCATTCCAGGGTTCCAAAGATTTTTGTTTGACTACAATTTGATCAGAAAATATCTGAGTCTTGCCTTTAAGACTTTCTCGAATAATTGAAAGTTCTTTCTGATCTAAAACAAGCTGCTTTTCGGTCTCTATTAGCTTCTGAGAAGCGCTATCAATTTCAGCTGAACAATTTATAATGTCGGATTCGGCAATATTTGCAGCAGATTTGCTATCGTTAATGGTTTTCTCCGCCTTTGTGATCTTGAGTGCAAGAAACCGTCTTTTCTCCGCGTACTTTACATGCTCTTGATCGAGACGAGCCATTTCCTTCGAAATTCCGAGCACATCTTTCTCAATTTTCTCACAAATTTTCCGATTTTTTTCGTACTGGTTTTTTAATGCTTTTATCTCTTCCTCATTCCCTTGATGCTTCCCTAGCTCGATATCAAGTTGGGCTTGCATTTCTGCGATGGCTTCCTCTGTAACAGACAAGTTATTGCTGCATTCATGAATATATACTTGATAGAGTGCAGATTTTTTTATAGATAATGAATTTTCGTCTCGAATGTATGAGAGTGCTGTATTTTTTTTATCTTCTAGGTTATTCTTCTCCTTTTCAACGTGCTGAACACGTCCCCGCTTTTCGATGCAAATTTCGTTGAAAGTCTCCACCTCAACGGCTGATTCTTCAATGGGTATCTTATATTTTGAGGTTCCAATAATATCTTCCAAATACTCAAGGAGACCATCATCATGTTCATTTGCAGCCTTAGGTTTCATTTGAGCGATCGATTCAACTTCACCTTGGAGAATAAGGAACCGTTTGTGATCGAGATCAATCCCTCGCTCTCGGAGAAGTGTTGTTACTGTTGTAAAGTTTGACTCTTTATCGTCGAGGAAATATTTACTTGCGTTATTCTTGAAAGCGCGTCTAGATATCACTAAATTTGAGTTAGGAATAACAGTAGTGGATCCATTTAACTATAGAAATTAGAGTTACTCCATGAGACGTGATAACAATTCCTCACCTGGTCCATAACTTCCTGGAAATGTACTGCAACCTCACAGTATTCAAGATTAGGGTGTGCAGCAGAATTGTGTATAAGAGCGGAGATCTTTCCCTGCCGCATCTTGCTAGCTCTAAAACCAAACACAAAAAGAAGAGAATCAATTACATTAGACTTCCCTGAGCCATTAGGACCTACAACAGAGGAAAAAGATGTGTGAAACGGGCCAACTTCCTGTCGACCAGCATAGCTCTTAAAATTAGTAAGAATTAGATAGGTTATTACCATTCGGGGTTTCTGGGTTGTTGCCTCCGTAGTCGTTGTGGCCGTGGATCTCGGCTTGAGGTCTATTTCTGGAGACTTTTCGAAAAATTTTTCCGTAGAGATTTGAGTTCTTTCCCCCAAGTCTTTCTTTTTTGTTAGTCCAAGAGTAGAAACAGGTGAGTTTATAAATAATTTCTGGTTTAGTTTCGCAGGCTCTGGCGACATCGAAGGCTCCGGAGTTGGTAGAGACTGAGATATTAGCGGTACAGAAACTTGACGAGATATGGAAGGGCTTTCAATTTTTATTTCCTGAGCTAAACCCTGATTTCTGGGAGATTCTGGGCATAAATTTTCGGCGTTCTCTATATTTGGTGATTTAATTGGGTTAACATTAGCCTTAGTTACTATATTCCTTGTACGACTACCAGTCTTTGGCGTAACTATTGTTGTATTCGTAGTCTTCCGACGAGTTTGAGGGACCTTGCGGGATATTTTTTTTTTCATGGCTGGATTAAAATTATCTTCACTCATTTCTTCGCCGCTAGATTTAGGAACCTCCTCTTCCTCTTCCATATCAGATTCAATGATAATATTTCTCCGAGTTGCTGCTCGCCTCCCCGATCGAGTCGTTAGCTCAGACATGGTTGAAGTGCAGACTGAGAAGGCTCAGTTTGGGTCTACTGAGCCAATCCTGCTTTTATAAGTTAAAATTTATAGTTATTTTCTAGCAATGATTAAGTTAGACTTCTGTTCTGTTGATACCTAAGAATTATTTGTGATCTGGTATCATTGATGATGGCAACATAGTGGAGTATGTGAGATCGAAGTGTTATATTGTTGCTCAACGGGGCGTGTACCTGAGAAGTAAATAAACACAGACCTTATCGGACATTTCGCGCTAGGTTATTTGTTCCATCTTCTACCGCTGCGCATTCTGCAGTCGCTCCATTCAAATAAACAATATTTATTCTACGCGATCCTTTTAAAATCAAACGACCTATAAATTTGGAATTAAACAAATGAACCCGACTTAATTTGAGTTTTTTCTACGACGATCTAGTTGCTACCTATTAAGTTTTAATATGCGATGGGAACTCAAATCACATTCTTTATCACAAAACATGCTTGAAGTCAGTCGTAAGTTTAACCTGCTCGCTATATCTTTTACTATTTTAACCCCTGATTCTTAACGCTATTTCGGATGTTACTTGAGCCCAGAAGATTTGAATTTTAAGAATTTTACGTGACAGGAAGAAACCGACATCTTTTTAGACGTGACACGGGTAGATGGGCTATGAAAGCTCATTGCTATCTACAAGACTCGCAGTAAAGCCAAAAGAGACAAATGAAAAGAAAATAAATTACAGTAAATGTCTGAGCTACGGTGCCCTGCGCCGCATCCCTATCTTCTAAACCCAACTCCTGTCGAGCTAGAAACAATCTCAGCATGGTTACTATCCACCCTATTCATTCTTCGGTAGACTGTAGCATCTGTGTCTGGATCACTCTGATTGGTCCGAAGTGTAAGCCTTCAGGCACAGGTGTTTATCGTACTAGAACCTTGGCACATACATAGGATAACTCTCTGTAGATAGCTTGGATAGAGAATAAAGAACAAAGAGACCAACCACTATCTATCTGCTAGCAGATTCAGCCTATGCCAACAATCTACTTATAATTAGGAATTGGAAAAACTTCTGCCATCTCTTCTCCCATGTCATTTTCCTAACCCCAGGTGGGACCATTTTCTCGCAGCTTCTCCAACGCTGCAAGGTAGGTCGGCACTCTGAAAAATGCCAGGGACTTTTCTCTCGGCCGCGAACGCATTTTAGATTTTCATTTGAGGAGCTGAGAAGTCGGTGGTCTCGTAGTTCCTGCGGCCTGTTCTTGCCGCAGTAAGGCGGTGGTACGCCAATCTTGGTAGAGCCATTCCTGGCGACCGTTTACAGCGTATACAGAGGTCCGGACCTTTGTATCATTTCGGCCGATAACTGTGCCAGCCAAGATAGTTTTAATGAATGTATTGTTAAGGAAATAATGACCCCTCAGCTATTGAGGTCGTAGAAGGCATTGATTCAAGTAACTACATATCTGATATTGCGTCATTGTTATGATATGAGACAACCAGGTAGCCGAGGCTAGGGCATCGCGTGTGGCTCAAGGCCACAGCATACATCACTAGTGTACTGGTTAGGCGAGCATGTATATAGTTTCATAGATGTACCCACAATAAATGGCCACAGGTTTAGTCAAACACTATCTGTCCACATACCTACAGTATAGTATTGTATGAGGCTACTCACTGTCAACCACAAATTATAACATCATCCACTCCTCATCACTCCGCAATGTGACTTCCGCATAGCTCACAACCACAACAGTCATAGCTAGATAGCTGCATACGCAACTAAAATCTAATGCAAAAAAAATGTAACTACCGAAGCGAAGCTAAGCACAGAAATTGTAGTCACATGTGAATCGGCAACGTGGCCTAATGCCGGCAAATACGTATTCTTCACCTTCGAGTGGTGCCGGTTTACTCACTCAGTATGCTCTGCATATCTGGGATAGCCAAGGAGGATCGTATCCGAATCGAAGTCGAAAACAAACTCAAGCATATCTCTACCTGACGACTTCTCGACAATGTCTCTCTTATCATTCTCATCTGAGTCCTCAACCTCAATCTTCCTACACTACCTCGCCTTCACTTCTGATAAAAGCGTTACTCCAATTGCGATCGGGAATTTGCCTTATCGAAATCGGCCATCTCCCACTATAAAGTTACGATATTATGTACACCCGCGAGGAAGAAATTAAGTCATAATACCCAATGCTCGAGTCTTGGTCTATAGGGGACCGTTGCCCTGATGGGGCTTCACTCCTTGAGGGAGGACAGGCAGCTGTGACGTGGAGCGAGCAAGCGAGAAGGTCACAAATGGGCATAATAGAACTTATATTTTTCCAGTTTTTCCGACTTAAGAGTATCTGTGGGCGCCGAGACAACTATTTCGGATAGAGCGACCGACACTTTAAAAACATGCAACCACAGGAAGTGTTGTGGCCCGCTTCCTGGTCATCATCTCCCCAAATTAGAGTCTAGTTAGCACAGACGCCTAGTTTACTCGAGAAAAGGAGGAATTTGATGCCATAGCTCGCGTCGCGGCTACATACAAGATGACAAAATCATGTCATAGTGGCCAAAGGCTTTTCCCATTTTCCCTTTGGTGGATATTAACGGTTGAGGGAAGGGTGAAAGTCACTAGCACCAAGGTCTCGAGTGGTATCAGCGAATGCACCCACTACATGAGTAGTCCAAATGTCAAACAAAGTTATCGTCGTATATAGTCGTCGGAGACTGTACGCGGTGTCCTTTACGAACCTGGTAGTGAAATATTCTCCCAGAGCCAAGTTCAGTCAAATTTCGCAATACCGAACAAGTTGGCCCACGAGGCAATGATTCAAACTACTCCACCACGTCAATTTTTCAGTCCCAAAGAGAACGAAACCTACCCAAGCCTCATCAAGTCTAAAAGTACGACCTAGTACATCCTCATTCCAATGACCACACCTCCTATCGACTTTCTCTGGCCTCAGCTGGTCGCCAAATACACGCCCACGCCGATATTTATATCCGACGGAGGAAGCAAAGCGTGGAGCATAAATCTGGGAGATAGCTCTTTGGTATGGACGTGAGAGGGATCAGGACAAGTTTACAAGATGATGCAGAAGAGGGATACGTTTTCGACGGACGTGAAATTTCGAATTTTGGCAAGAGTTTTACGAATTGAGCTCCGTGCGCGCCAAGACTTCGCTTGCGAGAGTGCAGCTGACACTATAAAAACAAGCCGACGATGGAATGTGCCGGGGTCCGCCTCCCGGTGGTGTTCTCTGATATAGATTGAGTAGCCTAGGCACCTACTCCACTTGGGAAAGAGACGCCTAAGACCATATTTCGCGCGGAGAAAAATTGTAAGATGACTGAGGCATGTCTGGATAACTCAGGGTTTTCGAGACGTTCCACTGAGTGGGTATTCACGGATGAGGGTTGACTTGGGGTGAAGAAAAAGCCACCATAACTTCGCAGTGGTACTTGCAAATGAAATCTGAGGCATGAGTGCTCCTCTTGTAAATTGAGTCATCTTTTCTGTACTTTTCTTTGATATTGTGTCATAGCTAGATAACTGCATACTCAATTGAAATCTGATGCAAAAAAAAAAAAGTCGTCGGAGAAGCTAGTCTTCTTTTTGTTATGCTCTTCGAGTGCAGGGCTTGTGCCCGTCACTAATGAACTTTCATTCATTCATCGTCGTCGTGCCCGTGTAAATCCCGTGAGCTTCTCACGTACATGGTAGCCCAGTATAAATAAAACTACCCGAAGTCTTTTTGCCTCAAATTACAACTTCGTATGCAGCTATCTAGCTATTACACAATATCGGAGGAGTAGAGAAAATTTGACTCAATATACAAGAAGAGCTCTCATTCCTCGGATTTCATTTGCAAGTACCACTGCGAATTTATGCTGGCTTTTTCTTCACCCAAAGTCAACCCTCATCCGTGAATACCCACTCAGTGGAACGTCTCGAAAACCCTGAGTTATCCAGACATGCCTCAGTCATCTTACAATTTTTCTCCGCGCGAAATATGGTCTTAGGCGTCTCTTTCCCAAGTGGAGTAGGTGCCTAGGCTACTCAATCTATATCAGAGAACACCACCGGGAGGCGGACCCCGGCACATTCCATCGTTGACTTATTGTACATGTTGTGATTATTGCATTTACTCTAAATTTATCTCTGCCAAGTGACAGGGATACAACACATCTACGCGAGTACTGCACAGCCCTAAATGGCCATCATTACGATCGACCATTGAGGCGCAGCTCTATATAATGGCATAAAGTAATGTGGGATAGTGTGGCATGGAATTAAGATTGTAGTACTTCCTGCATAGACGGTGATGTACTGTATAGCGGGTACCAAATATGTGTGCATAAGTCCTATCTACCACTGTGATATGTAGACGATTATAACTAAGCTTTCCATCATATCGTCAAGCTCTGATAATCGTTATCCACCCGCTCTAATATCCCTAGACTTTTCAAAATTTATGTCGGTAACAGGATCATATTTGGGTAATGTGAATTGTTCTATGTATTTGCGGTATTCAGGTTGTCGTTAGGACACTGACAGGGGTCTGATTAAGCTCATTAGCGAGGCGCTTGGAGTAGAAGAAGAAAGGGGAGATGGAGAGGAGAAGGGGGAGACAACGTTTTATGTATTTCAAGATACCAGTTAATTGACTTTATTCACCAACTTCGTGACTGACAGCTGACTTCGTGACGGCACCCAATTTGTATTACTTTGTGTTTTACCAACAATTTCATACCTACTCATACCTTAATCACAATGGTATACAGTGTCAGCTGCACTCTCGCAGGCGAAGTCTTGGTGCACACAAATCTCAATTCGTAAAATTCATTGGAAAAGCTCAAAATTCTATTCCCTTTGAGGTTATATCCCTCCTTTGCATCATCTTATTAACCAGTAATCATCCCTTTCACGTCCACCCCAAAGAGCTGTCTCCCAGATTTGTGCGCCACGCTTTGCTTTTTCCGTCGGGTGTAAATATCGGCTTGGGCGTGTATTTGGTGACCAGCTGAGGCCAGAGAATAGTCGACAAGAGGTGTGAACATTGGAATGAGGATGTACTTGTTCGTACTTGTAGACTCGATGAGACTTAGGTAGGATTCGATCTTTTTTGGAATGAAAATTTGACGTGGTGGAGTTATTTGAAACATTGCCTCGTGGGCCAACTTCTTGATTATTGCGAAATCTGACTGAACTTGGCTCTGGGAGAATATTTCACTCGCAGGTTCGTAGAGGATATCGCGCACGGATGTTCAATCATGCCTACCGTGTTGTGCTGTTTGAATGCGGGTTTTGTACCTGTCACGAATAAACATTCGTTCATCTCCAACAGCCCTAAGCATTACTTGACCTAATCCTATCCCTCAGTATTATTTCGACCGCTTTTTTCATCTGGAGTTGCTCTATCCAACCATGATTTAGGATCCACTATGTTAACCTTTAATTTCTGTCAAGGCAAACTATTCCACCTACTCATGTAAACTAGGCTAGTCAAGTCACATCACCTGACTATGATTACATAGACTTCATCTGCAGTAGATGGACTCTCTAGTCAACATTTACAACGTAATACTGTGTCCCACATATCTTTCTTAGGAATTTCTCCAGGATTAATTATCATCGCCTCGCAGGATCGATCTTTTGACTTGTCTCCAGATATCTGCTCTACCATTTGACCATCGGGCCAGAACATAAACACCCGCTTGGGGTTATCTGATTGGTAGTGTTACGGTTTGACCATTGTTTGAGCTAAGGCGGATATTGAAGCTTAATAATAAAAATTCTCACGACGATGCTACATGGGGAGGAAATGAAGCTGAACGCAACGACACTAATAGTCCGGAGGCTGAAACGTTCTTTCAACTTAGTGACACCTGGAAATACGTGGCTGGCTAGGAAGTATTGTGTCTAAGGACAAGTCACTAATCTGTAGATTCAGGAGAAGGAGCAGCTCTATTAAATACCTTTTAGTAGTAGATAAAGAACTCTTTTCTCCTCAAATAGTTTAATAAATCGATTTATTCATCACCAACTCGGTTTCCGTCACAGATAATCACATGGACAGCCTGGACTTAAAACTATGTGTAATTTTCTTCTGTGCAAATACGAGTTGAGCCCCATGTGCTCACTGCGAATTGCATTGCCAAACTACTTTGGGCCCCAGTTAGGTTACCATGTAGAAAAATTGGGGAATCTTTCAGACCTTTTTTTTGCCATCTAGATTTTGTACCTTGGTAATATTCGGCCGTTCTCCAAGTTTGAGGTCGGCTATACACTTATTTTATGCTCTAAAATGCAACAGTTACAGAGTAAAGTAACTAATCTGCACGAATTATTTGCAGCCAATCATTGTTTGGATTAGGTAAAGTATCAAGGAAAGAATTCATGACAAACTATCCACCGTGGCAAAAGTGTACATAAAATGATTGAGTTCCGAAATTCATGCATGGGTTAAAGGCGCTAAATCAGGATAATTTAATTCAAGCACTGTTCGCGTGCCATGGTTAGAAAGGGTTAATACATATAAATGATTAAACAAAGGCCTAAGAAAGGAACTAGCTCGCTGCAGCTCATGTCATTGTAGGGCATTCAGTCCTAGATGGATAGCTATTTTTGTGCAGTGTTTATTGGACAACCTACTGTGTGCCCACCATAATGCCTATTTTCATTATCATCTCAAAAATCAGAATCCATCGTTCAAAAGGATGGATCGATAGACGTTTGGTAAGTTTTGTCTATTTTGTGCCGTTTACTAAGTTGTATCCCGTCGTCATAAGATCAACTTAAGCTGTGATCTGTCTCTGTCTCAGGCCACTGCCAAGAACTAAAATTAGACTTGAATCTTATGAGCATCATATGGTTAGTAAATTGAACGGTCAATGGCCATGTGAACCGAGTGTCATCCGTGGGCGTGGCATCTGTCACGGGTGAGCTGGAGACTCCTCCCAGTTTCGGAAAGGATTTATAAACCCATCCGATACCTAACAGCTCCCTCCATTCATTTCTTCCGCATGCATGAAATCAATCAATAAAAGGGAGAAATCCTTGTCGAATTTTATGAGGAGATGTACCTACACAAGAAGAAGGCCTCGAACAGAAGATAATTCACATTCCAAGTCATGTAATGGAGAGGCTTCCGCTGCGACCATCGCCCCGGACCCTTCAAGTGAACCTGTTATGCCACTCTTTTTGCGGCTTCCAGAGAACGGTTAGTATCTGAAGTTTCTAGCTCAGAGTGTGCTAATATATCATCAGAAATTCAACGCAGGTTTGCACACCTTGCCCGCCTTGAGAATCGGCGGTTAAGAAGCACTCATGATAAATGGGCTCAACCAAGCCCGGACAGCAATCGCGATAGATATCTAAACATAATCCCATGGGAGAAAAACAGGGTAAAATTGCAGGTACCAAAGGATGTAAACGACTACATCAATGCATCTTACGTTGTTGTACCCTTAAAGCTCGAGAAGCCAAACAAAATTTATGAAAGGTTTATATGCATGCAGGGCCCGATGCAAAAAACTGTAGATCAAGTGTGGCAAATGGTTTGGCATGAACTGGGAACGCCTCATGAAACTTCTCCAGCAGTCATTGTTATGCTTTGTCCAACCCATGCACCTGTACCTGGTCATCCTTCGAAGCTTACCAAAAAGTGCCACGCCTACTATCCTCTTGACCAGTATTCACAATCAATTCGTGTATCTGGCAAGACTAAGCATGGTACCAATTTTAACGCCACAATTGCATTCAAGTCAAGAGTTCCAACTGTTCAGAATTCGGATATCGAAATTCGAGAGCTAGAAATGACAGTCGATGGCAAGCAAGAGAAAAAACCAATCTGGCATTTTTTATACCACAGCTGGCCTGATCATGGGGTTCCTAAAGACTCTGAGATAGCGAAAATCCTTGAACTGCTCGATTTATCAAGAAGACAGAACGGCAATGATGGCAATCCTCGTATTATTCACTGCAGCGCTGGTGTCGGTCGCACTGGAACTTTTATCGCACTGGATTTCTTGGTCAGCCAGCTCAGAAGGGGCGATTGGATAAATATTGATCAAAAAAACACACATACTATCGTTGATCCAATATACGACATTGTCAATCACCTTCGGACTCAGAGAAATCACATGGTTCAAACTTATGCGCAATATAGATTCTTATACAGAATGATGAGGAATCTTTGGGTGAAATTGTACCAAGTTCCGGACGCGAGAACTGAAACATGTATATTTTCAAACATTAACTGAGCGGTACTTGTACAGTAATCCCTGGATGCGCTTTTATATCTATGTATATCAAGTCCAAGAAAACAGTGTTATGCTAAAAATAATGTATATGCCAGCACGATCAAGGGTTGATAAGCTGATTTGGGAAGGTTACCAATTGTTATATGACACTTTCATTGCAAACAATAGCTATACTGTTAGAATAAATTTAATATTTTATAATAAAATTTTAATCTCTGGAAATGTGAAGCTAGCCCTCACCTTCCTTTATTTCAGCGTAAGGTCATCGCCACATACTAGACTCTACGGGTACCGTGTTCATAATTGATTGTGAATAATCTCGTGCACGTTCATCCACTGTGTTTACTTCGCTTCATCGCCGTCTCGAGGAAGTTTTATTCCCATTAATCCAAACAAGTTGCTTGCAGGGCCCGACAAGCCTGCCTGAGCCTTGAAACTCTCGAGGAGATTCTTAGCCAGAACAAAATCAACGTCGGCTGTAGTGTTGCTATCGACCTCACTGTTCTGATCGTTGTCACTTTCAACTCCAAATTTTTCTATTGCAGCACTTTCTGAACCAATATCTCCTCTAAATTTGGTGTCGCTCTTGAGAATGCCAGCCTCAAGAAGTTCTTTTTCTACTCTATTCATCACCTCTTGAATTTCTTGTGTTTCGCACGTTCTTTCCTGATCACTGTCTGGACCATGGACAGAATTTTTCTTCGTCATATCTGATTGGCTCAACGGATCAACAGCCTCCATTGGTATGCCCATCATCTCCCGCATCATACGGTTAAATTCATTCTCATCAAAGCTTACGGCTTTATCTTCGCCTTCGTCTTCACTATCCTCCAGATGACTGTCTGTTTCATCATCATCACTGTCATTGTCATTATCCATATCTTCAAATTTTTCTTCGTCGAGAACAGCTTTATCATCATTTAGGAATGATTCAAAACGTGCAACCATTTCTTTAAGATCTTCATGTGCCTTTAAATTTCCCAGTCCAGGTTTTACTATTGGCTCAGGACTCTCATTTGATTTTTTGCATTCTGTTTTACCATTGAATTCTTGTTCTAAAATTTTAAAATCAATATCAATCCAAGATTCGTCGTCATCCCTGGATACCCCAACCCATTGCGAAATCTCGGCATCAGAGGGGAGGGTTAGGTCAGTATTTTTCTCGATCTCTTCTAACAAAATCTTGATATCATGAACAATACTTTTGTTAGTGTTCATGGGATCCTGAACAAGCATTTCGAATCCCGAAGTGAGCTTCATTCCAAGATTAATTCTTTCGTATTCAAGTTCTTTTTTTTCAGTGGATAGATTTAGTTTTTTCCATGCTAGTGGGGGCAAAAATTCTTGATGCTTAATTTGCGCGAAAAGCAATTTTGAAAATTGAACTGAAACGCAGACTAAGTCTGTGGGAGAAAATATAAGATTTGTTGAGTCCTTCTGAAGAGTCTTTAGGCTAATTGGGTCCCGAAGATAGAAAGATTCAACCGCTGAGGATACAGCACAAGGTAACTGGTGAAGAATGTGAGCTAGTTTTCTTGGAATGTAAATTATTGCATGATGCATAGAGTCAGATATTTGTGATGGATAATTCCGAAGCCGGTAGAATGCTTCTTCTTCAATAAGAGGTGAATTAATGAGGAGATCTGGGTATAAAGTTATAGTTTGAAGTGCTTCGTCAAAATTCAGGACTCTATGGACCGCAACAGTAGGAGTATCATCTGATGTGTGGTATGTCGGACTCAAAGGAATAATATAGAGCTTATTTTTGTGAATCCAAATCTAGGCTATTAGTACTGTATATTGTGTTTTCAGGCTTTATTCTACTTACCCGATTCTCAGCTACTTCAGGATTGAGCCAAGTCGGTAGAACGTTTGCAGCTTCAGCAAGCAAGAACTCGCCATCATTATCTACCACTCTCACCCATAAATCTGGAAATTTTCTACTTAACTCTTTCACGAGGTAAACAATTAGCCATTCATCTTCGACTGAATCACCATAATTGGTCAATCCATGAAGGAATGTACGACCTACAATGGAACATTAACTTATGATGACTACTAGGAACAGAAACGACATGCCATTTTTGGTTAAAACATTAAGCTGGAAAGCCTCCCTATGCCAGATATAGTCTTTCACTACGCTAATTGACATTCGAACTGAATCCTGACGCACCTCTTCGTAACGTGCGAGCAGCTCGCTGGATGAGAGGGGCGTAGCATCGGTATAGATGAGTGAATACTCGATACAATCTTCGGGAAGATACCAACTTTTTTTGGAGGAATCATGCGGGTAGGCCTGGGAGTTTTTAACATGAGAGCGAGGCATGGTGAGGAATCGATTCAACACGACCTCATGTATCAGTAATAAGTCATCAGTGACGTATCAGGGGTAAGTGACAATCTGAGGCACTTGAGGCCCTAACCTTCCTGATAAATTTTCGTGCTATTATCGGTCTTATAAATATCTTGCTGCTCGTCGTTGAGGTTGGTACGGCTCATGATAATCGCAGTTTTGCTGACATTTCTCCCTCAGCATGCTAGAGAAAGAATTGTTCACGATATTTTCCATGGGTTAGACTTGAGCCGAAGCGGGGTAGCAAAGTTGATACGAAGGTCACGGTAGTGTTTCAATCAATAATCTGGCAACCCGTGAGCCTTGTTATTCGAGTCCAGAGAGAGAGAGATAGGCGTGTTTATTGTCTTAGTTGGGTCACAGACTATCTAGCATATTGGGCTCTTCACTGGCCTTGGCCACGCCTTGTACAGTAATCCTTGCCTATATTGTTTCATGAAAGGTGTAAAACTTAGAGAGGTCTTCGTGCGAATGTCACGTGAATCGTCAAAAGGTAAAAGCGAATACAAGAATGAATTGATTAATTGTCTCCGTGCTACGAGTCCATCGTAGCATTATAATATCTAGTCCTACCCTATTGATGCCCCTGATCATGATAGGAAAGGTTCAAGATAAGTCATGTAAATTTTGTGGAAAAGAAAGGCAAAATGTGCGGCACCTGTTGTCACACTGTCCAAAATTCAAAGACCAGAGAAGCAGATGCTTCAAGGGCATAGAGCCAAGAACACTTCCGACCTTGTTTTGTACAAAAAGAGGGAAGGAAGCATTATTAACATATTTGGATACATCCAAGTGTATGGCAGCACATAAAGGGAGTTAAATTAGGACAAATAATTGGGAAATGTTAAATTTGGAATGAAGGGGTAGTGATTTACCAGGAAGGGAAGGCTAGATCTATGTATTTTAAATGTGTCACAGCTAGATAGCTGAATACACTATGAATTAAAAAAAAAAAAAGATGCCCCTCATCATCATTACTAGTCTAACATGCCTGCACGCAGATCGTGCGGAGGGCAAGACTGAACACCTGTACGCGGTGTCCTCTACGAACCTAGGAGTGAAATATTCTCCCAGAGCCAAGTTCAGTCAAATTTCGCAATATCAAAGAAGTTGGCCCACGAGGCAAAAATCCAAATTACTCATCCACGTCTTTATTTCGCTCCCAACGAGTTTGACTCCTATCTTCGTCTCATCGAGTCTACAAGTACGACCAAGTACATCCTCATTCCAATGACCACAACACTCTTCGACCTTCTCTGGCCTCAGCTGGTCACCAAATACACGCCCACGCCGATATTTATACCCGACGGAGGAAGCAAAGCGTGGAGCACAAATCTGGGAGATAGCTCTTTAGGATGGACGTAAGAGGAATCAGGACAAGTTGACAAGACGATGTGAAGAAAGGATACAACCGCGAAGGGCGTGAGATTCCGAATTTTGGCAAGAGTTTTACGAATTGAGCTTTGTGCGCGCCAAGACTTCGCTTGCGAGAGTGCAGCTAACACTATAAACATAAGCCAACGATGGAAGGTGTTGTGGTCCGCCTCCTGGTGGTGTTCTCCGGTATAGTTTGAGTAGCCTGGGCACCTACTCCACTTGGGAAGGAGATATCTCAGACCATATTTCGCGCGGAGAAAAGTTGAAAGATGATGGAGGCATGTCTGGATAACTCAGGGTTTTTGAGACGTTCCCCTGGGTGGGTATTCACGGATGAGGGTTGACTTGGGGTGAAGAAAAAGCCACCATAACTTCGCAGTGGTACTTGCAAATGAAATCTGAGGCATGAGTGCTCTTCCTTAACGATGAATCATCTATTCTGTACTTTTCTTTGATATTGTGTCATAGCTAGATAGCTGCATACGCAATTAAAATCTGATGCAAAAAAAAAAAAAAAAAAAAAAAAAAAAAACGCAGATCGTGCTTTCGCTTTTGGACTGGATCCAGACTTATACAAGCACAAGTCTGCTTATGTATGTATGTGTGTGTGTGTTTTTGTTGGGCTACTTGAGTCTATTACTATCTAGCACATTGGGCTCCTCTCTGACCCAGGCCACGCCTTGTACAGTGCTCCTATCCTCTTTTGTTACTTGAAAGATCATTGATATATTCCCCTTGATGAATAGCCATTCAGCTCAGTATTTACCCGTGGAATTCAGCCACCTTTTCCACGGAACCTTCTACCCAAAAAAAATAAAAATGGTAGCAATGGAAACTGCGTGCGCGGGAAAAAGTCTCAAAAAACCTGCAGTCCCAGCCAGGCGAGGCCTAGACACCAGGACCACATGAGGTGCGCATATTCATCTATATCTCCCTTCTTTGTAACAGTCGAGGTCGACTTGATCCAATCCACCATCTCCGTATCGGGTGCTGGGTGCGCTCCAGAAACTCATCGGATGGCTTTTCCTCCATGATCAAGGGTGGGTGACGAGTAGGGCTCCGACCCTACCATCTGATCTGATCGTGGTTAGCTTCGTGATAATGGTTATAGGGGGATGTGCTTAGGGATGAAGACGATACAGACGGCGTAAGCGATTGGGAATCCTCATCGAAATGAGGACTTTGTTACTCAATCTCGGCTCTGCATACTCTACAGTGATCGCTGGAGGTTCGTAGGGACACCACTGACAGGTGCTGAGAATTCTCCCCAGTTTTTCTAAAGTATCCTTTAGGAACCGCAGTTACACTATAGTGCCCACCATGTAACCCAATCACATTAGCTTTATCGACCTCAAGAAATGCATGGCCTGTTCCTTTCCTTCGGCAGCATTTCGACCGCCTTTGTCATTTGAAATTGTTCTATCCAACCATAGTTTAGAATCCACTGTGCTATCCTTTTGATATCTCCAGGATTGTTTAGTATAGCTTTGTAGGACCGGTCTTTGGCTTGTCTCCAAATCTCTCCTCTTCCGTTTCACCATCGAGGGTAGGACATAATCATGTGCCTGGGATTCTGGGATTGTTAGACACATGGACAGCTTGGGCTGTAGACTTCGCATACTTTTCTTCTATTTATATTCGAACTGACCCCCATGTGCTCGCTTCGTATTTGCATCGCTAGACTGCTTTGGGCCTTTGTCAGGTAACAAAGGTGGTTTATTATTTTCTGTGTAGCTATCTATACACGTCCTACTTCAACTATTTATACACTTTGATTTGATTTCATTTAGCCCGTTCAGGTACCTTATGGGCCCATGCAGGTATAACTAGCTTTAATATTTACACAGGAAGAAACCAAATTCGGTAAAAACCCCCTACAACTGTCTGACTCGTCTATTTTTTTGAGGTTTCCTACAGGAAGTGCGATTACACTGTTTATACAGTGTGAAATCCGTCTTATTCTTGTCCACATCGTCTCATCCTTTCGTCCAATGCTATTTCTACTTCTCCTGCAAGCCGGAATTATTTAAACTAGCCTTTTGCCAGGATCCATTTTGTAATTCTCTCTATGTCATCTGGGCTGTTTATCATTGCCGCAAATAACCTGTCTTTTGCCTTTCGAAGCACCTCTCCTCTTCCCAATGCCCACTGAGAATACGCCAAGACCATATCTTTGACATTTTGAGACGGATATCCACACTGACATTTTGGATTAATCGATCCGGGGATTTTCCTTCGATACAGATAAGAATTGAGACCAATGTGCTCACTTCTTATCTGAACTGCAATACTGCTTTGGTCCCTACTAAGGTTTCGGAATATTTTTTATACACTTATTATTCTATTTAGAATATTCTTCTTGCCTGTAACCATTCGTTAGTATTTTCCCTTGAGGCTAGTTCGCAGTCCTAATACTAGTTCCCAGAAATTACTTGTGACGTCCCGATTGAGCTGTGTAAGAATATGGATGATGATGATGATGATGATGATGATGATGATATTTTTATCGTGATCGAGTACTACCCCAGCACCCAGAGGGCATGGCACGGGTAGTCTAGATCTATACGACTCTTCGCTACCTACATCATTGTTTAGTAGAAACCTAAACACACAAAACAAAAACAAAAACACCGTTTCTAGTGTGCTAGCGCCCTGCGCTACACCTTCACTCTCGTACCACACCGAACGGTGCCAAGAAGCATTACAGTTGACCTTTACATCACCTATTCACCATTCAATATTGCTATAACACCTTGTTAGAGTTAAAAAACGCCAGAATTTCTGCAATCCTTCCTGCCCTATCATATCCCTGATTGTAGGACGTGGTTCCTTCGTTTCCGTCCTCCATTTCTGGATAGTCGGGCGACACTCTGCAAAATGCCATGGCCGCCTTTCTCTGCCACGATTGCAAAGCATTTCTTCATTCTGGTGTTGGAACCGTCTATGATAGCTGGCGAAGTCACTATGCCCAGTCCTTGCTGCGATGAAGCGATGATATGCCCATCGAGGTAGAGCTAGCTCCGGAGGGCGTTATCTCCGCATCAGTAGGTCTAGATCTTCATACCTACTCGATCTGTTCTTAAGCCACCATTCTTCCGCAAGTCTTTGTACCCGTATGTTGACTTGGCGTTTGAGAGCTGCAAAAGTCAAAACTTCGAGAGTTTCCTCCCAGATGCACTCTGGTCCCGGTATGTTCCCATCCTGATTATTTGACGCAAGGAATACCTTTGCCATCGTATCGGCCTTTTCGTTTCCTGGAATGCCGCTATGTCCCGGAACCCAGTAGACTTCTATTACTGGTCGAGTCTTGCGTGGTTCCCAGAAATTCATGACCTCTACTTGCGAGGAATTTGTTTTGCCATTTTGAAGGGCTCTGACAGCCTCTTGATTGTCAAGGAGTACCTTGATATTTGTGCTGCCACCAATTTCTAACGCTGCCTCTAGGCCTCGTACTGCCCCGATTATTTCCGCATCAAAGACCTCAGCTCCAGGGAGGAAATTTCCACCGCTCGCTATAAGTTCACCGCCCCTATATATGGCGTAACCATAGACTGGGTATGCTGGGACGGTCGATAACCCATCCTAGTAAACACAGA